AGCCCTGTGTTATTTATTTACTTAATTTTTAGACCTTCTCTGTATCTTTATAAGGGCATGAAAAATTCATAAATTCATGTGGGTCATAAGACAATCTGCGCAATATAGCAACATCCTATAAAATACCATACATACAATAAAACAAAAGCCTATATTCCCAGCACTCAGGGAGGTAGAGACAGGAGGACCCAGAGCTGAAGACTGTCATCAGACACATAGCCAGTTCCGTGTCATCCTGGGCGACGTCAGACCCAGTCTCCCCAAAATAAGCGGAAAACCCTTGTAATTGTCGGGACGAATGTTTCCATCCTGCAGTTTGAGAGTGAAGTATAGCAGTAAGTGTTGGTAATTCCTAATCATTTTGGAGTTTGGTGGTGACTTCAGACTCAGGTCCTGCCATGATCAATTAGCTGTTGCCAAATGAATTGTTTGTGTTTTGATACCTGCCAGCATCCAGAAGGCAGAGGCAAGTAGATTTCTGAGTTAGAGGTCAGTCTACATAGGGAGCTCCAGGCTAGTCAGAACTACCCAGTAAGACCCTGTCTCAAAAACTAAATAAAATTAACATTTTAAAAAAGTAAAAAAAATTCATAAATTCATAAATCTATACTGAAATACCACTCTGTACCCCACAAACAACAGGACTGGAGAGATGGCTGAGCAGTTAAGAACACTTTATTGATCCTACAGAAGATCAGGTTTGCCTCTCAGTATCCACACAGAGGTTCACAACTGTCTGTAACTTGTTTTGGGGAATCTGACACCCTCTTCTGACCTCCTCCCCACCCCTGATAAGGAAAAAAAAAAGGGGGCTGGAGAGATGGCTCAGAGGTTAAGAGCACTGGTGGCTGTTTAGAGGTCCTGAGTTCAATTCCCAGGGCTAGTTTGTAGCTTGGTGCAAGAGTCCTGGGTATGAACCCCAGCACCCCAAACATTAAAAATAAAAATAAACAGCCTCCAAAACAATACAGAGAAACCCTGTCTCGAAAAACCAAAAAAAAAAATAATAATAAAATAAAAATAAAAATAAGGGGGCTGACAAAGACAGGATATAAAGTGTGGGCTGAGGGACGGGTGGAATGAGAAACAGAGTGGGGGGCCTGGGGCGGGAGTTCGCTCGGCGGGAACCTTGAGAAGGCGAGTGCCGGCTGCAAGCACGCTGGGTACCCTTCCGACCAGTACCGGGTACCGGTTTCTCTGCTCCCACCTGAAGCTGGAAGAAGGTTGAGAGGGTAGGGGTCTGTAAAGTGATCAGTTTCAGTCCTTCATAATCCGGACTCCCCAGGTGGGAGGGCTGGGCAAAGGAATGTTCTAGGGAACAAAGGAAGGGTTGGCCCAGCGCCTGCACACGCCTCTTACACAAAGCGGAACCCGGGAAAACTGGACCTTAGGCCGGCCAGGCTTCGCTGCCGAGAATTCGCGGCTCCCCGCGAAGGCGGCACTCCCTGCGTGAACAAAGAAGAGCAGGGGTGGGGCCGAGGTGGGGCCGAGCCAAGCGGAGTGGGAGCCGAACAGAGAGCGGTGCCAGGACGATCTGGGGGCGGGGCCGAACTGGGGACGGAGTCCGAGTGGGTCGTAGTCAGGGCGGGACCAGGAGGAGCTGACCCAGTGGGCTGGGTCAAATTATGGGCGGAGCCTGGAGAACTAGTGATTGTATTGGAGAGTGGGACAAGGGCCCATCTGGGGGCGTGGCGAGATACGGCCAGGGGAGGACCCAAGGTAGACTGGGCGGGATTGATCGCAGCTGGACCTTGGGCACCGGGGCCAGAAAGCAGCAGTGCCTGTGTCCTCTATTTCCCGAGTGGAGTCTGGGTGGAGCTCCGAGCTGGGCATAGAGAGGTTGGAAAATGGTATTCTGTCTTGACAGAGGAGGGCAGGAGGTCCTTCCAAGTCATAGACTTAGAGGGGGGAAAGCTGGCGGGGGTGGGGGGAGGCGGCACAGGTGGGACTGAGGCTGGGAGCTCTGGGTCCAGAGTCTCACCCCGGCGGAGATGGGGTGACTCTAGGAGGGAAGGCGCGGGAAGGGGAGCCGGTGCAAGCGGCTGGCCTGGAAGACTCGGGTGGCTTGCTCCGCAGATTTGTTACTCCGCTGCTTGCATTAGGGTCCTAAACATTCAGAGTCCTAGCGGGTCCCCGCTTTGGAGCTGCATAATCCTGGGTCAAGTACCTCCCGGTCCCGAGGGCTTCGTTGTCTTGCAGGAGCTTAGTAGTAGGTTGAGGCTGGAGGTTGAGTAGGATTTACCACTTCCGCTACTATGCATTTCGTACGTACTAAGAAACTGTACTAATAGCTGTGTAATATTCAAGAGCGGCTTGCACTTACTCCACCACACTACCCTGTAACATTCTCCGTATTTCACAACTGAGTTTACCCAGCGACATGGACATGTACCGCGCAGCTGTGAGTGGTAGAACCAGGACGTATCTGGAATCTGAGTTATTTCTAAAGTCTATTTCACCCCATGTAATTACCTTCTAATTATTTACCATTCATTTATTCATTCATTCAAAAATATTTATCAGCAGGGTGTTGTACTAGATGCCTGTAATTTCAGCACTCAGGTAGCTGAGTTAGGAGGATCTGGAGTTTGTTAGGGCCAGTCAAGGCATGGTGGCATGTCTTTAATATTAGCACTTGGGAGACAGAGGCAGATGGATCTCTGTGAGTTCAAGGCCAGCATGGGTCTACAGACTGAAGTTCCAGGACAGCCAGGGCCACACAGAAACGATCTGTGTGTATGTGTACATGCATGAGAAATCCTGTACATGACGTATATTTGGGCTTGTGAACCACGCACACGTGTGGCAGTCACAGGACAATTTTGGGGAGTTGGCTCTTTTCTTCTACTTTTATGTGGGTTCCAGGGATCGAACTCAGGCAGTCAAGCTTGTGTGGCAGGTGCCTTCACCTGCCGATCCGTGTCTCTGGCCCTGGCCTGAACTCTTGTTCCCTCTATGTCTGCCCTCCAAGTGTGTACCCTGCCCAGCAAGACCAGAGGATCTTGATGACAGAATAGGACATTTGCAGGACAGGGAGCTGCAACTGTGTGGAAGCTAAAGAAAGAATCCAAGAGCTGGAATCCTTCCATAGCTTCCAAAAAAGGGAAGCTGTCTGTGTTTTAGCCCCGGAAGACCCATCACTACTATAATAAATCTTTACAGTTCAGAGATGATCAATTCCATCCATAGCAGAAAAAAATGGCATTAAAGTTGAGTGAAGTGGTGCACACCTTTAATCTCAGCACTCCAGAAGCAGACAGATCTCTGTAAGCTCTGTTTTTTGTTTTTTTCCAGACAGGGTTTCTCTGTGTACCTTTGGAGCCTGTCCTGGAACTCTCTCTGTAGACCAGGCTGGCCTGGAACTCACAGCGATCAGCCTGCCTCTGCCTCCTGAGTGCTGGGATTAAAGGCGTGCGCCACCTGTCTGGCTGACTTTGAGGTTTAAAAAGCTCACACTAGGCGGTATTGCTGGCCTGCAATCTCCAGATCAGATGTAAGCTCTCAGCTACTTACTGCTCCAGACCCATGTATGCCTGCCTGTCTGCTACCTTGCTCCCTACCTACCACAGTGGCCAGAGACTCAGCCTCTAAGTCTGTAAGCGATCCCCCAGTTAAATGCTTTCCTTGATAAGTTGCTGTGGTAATGGTGTCTCTTCACAGCAACAGAACAGTAACTAAGGCACAGCTCATTCAAAGCCAGGAACTCAGCTGTCAAGAGAGAGACGAGCCAAGATGCAAAAGAGACCCAGAAATATCATCAGAATGGGCACTTACCGAGAAAACAAAGCAGAAAGCATTTTGCATGTCTCCTTTCTCTCTCTTTCCCCCTCCCTCTCCTTTTTGGGGGAGGGGCAGGGAACAAGTTTCTCTGTGTAGCTGTTCTGGTACTTGCTCTGTAGACTAGACTGACCTCAAATTTACAAGAACTGATGCCTCTGCTTCCCAAGTACTGGGATCAGAGACATGTGCACTACCACCCGGCAACCTCTGTGCTGTTTTGAAGAAGGAAGAGACAGTGGCCAAAGCCAGTCTGAGGCAGAAGCCAGGGCTTTATGAGTATATATATATATATATTTATATATTTATATATATATAAAACAAGGGCTAAGCATGGTGCTGCACAGTTGTAACCCAGCACTGAGGAGTCTGAAGCAGTAAGACTGTGAATTCGAGGACAGGCTGGGCTACACTGTGAAACCCACAGAGGGGCGTCAGCTTCGCTGGTAAAGGCACTTGCTAAGCAAGCCTGGGACGCGAGGCCGGTAGCCGGGACTCACATGGTAGAAGAGAACCGATTCCAGCCGATGGTTCTCTTACTCCCATATGTGCTCTGTGGCTTCTGTGCTCAACTCCCACACCCCCCACCACACACATACACACACACACACACACACACACCACACACACACACACCACACACACACACACACCAAACAAACAGTAAAAGAAAAAATAAGGCAGAAGGAGAACAAACTCCACAAAACTTTCCTCTGACCTCCACGTGAACACTGGCACACAAGCTCCCAACACACAGTATTATAAATATTTTTAAAAGGAGGGCAAGTGTAGTGGCACACACCTTTAATCCCAGCAGTTCGGAGGCAGAGGCAAGTAGACTTCTATGAGTTCAAGGCTACCCTGGTCTACATCGTACGATCTGAATCAGCCAGCATTATATGGAGAGAGACCCTGTCTCAAACAAACAAAAAGATAAATGTAGCTGGGCAGTGGTGGTGCACACCTTTAATCCCAGCACTTGGGAGGCAGAGGCAGGTGGATCGCTGTGAGTTTGAGGCCAGCCTGGTCTACAGAGTGAGTTCCAGGACAGCTAGGGCTGTTACACAGAGAAACCCTGTCTCAAGGAGCAACAACAAAAAGATAAATGTATGCATATATGCTAAATGTGAAATGACCACCCAGCTTTGTCCATTTTCACCAGGCAGCTTTGCCCAATTTTTGGAGGTCTTTCTGACCAACAGGGCAGGACAGACACACGCAGCGAAGAAAACACCTTTTTTTAATCAACCCACCTGCATGGATACCAGGAAGGTCCCAGTCCACAGGGTCTCATTGAGAAACAAACCCAGTCCCCCTGCAAAACCCGGCTTATAAACCAAAAGGTCCAAAGCACCAGTGACTAAACCCTTGAGTCGAAGAGGCCTTGGGGAAGGGATGGGAGAATCCAGTGCTGCAGGGGGAGTGGGAGGGCTGCAGGGGGGAGGTGGACCAGTGGCAAGAGGCAACCTGGTCTAAAGGAAATTTGTCCCCCTCTGATTAGGTTCACCACCCAGGGACCGGTGATGGATAGAGGTGATCCTGGGCCAGGCTGATCTGGGTGGCATATTGGATGGGATAGTGGAGTGGGCTTGCCACCCTAGCTCAGGAAAGCCTGCAGCGGAGGACGGGGAGGGATGTGGTCACCAGTGTGGCGTGAACTGTCTCTACTGCCCAAGCGCTCTGCTGCGTTTCCTGATTCAGGGTGGCTCCAGCTCCACAGACTGGGGCATTGACATCTGCTCTCTGCACATTAGTCACCAAGCAGTACTCAGGTGCCTGGGTGGAGGGAGGTGATGGAGAGGAACCCTCCTCTCTGCTTGTCCTGGGGAAAGGCGGGGTGCTGACTCTCTTGACCACAGTCACCCACACCTCCACTCTGCCCCGTCAGCACTCCCGGACACCATCGCCTTCCCCTCTGAGACCACAATGGTGAAGCAGGTGGAGGAATCGAGAGTCAGTGGGATTGCTGGGGGTGGGTGGTGGGTGGTGAGTGGGGTGTGTCAGCAGAGGATCATGGGATAGGAGACACAGGCTTAGTTTTCTGGTGGACTGTAGGGTGAGACCTGGTCCTGCTTTCCTGGAGGACGAGGTTCGAAGGTTTGCCAACGAAGGGCAAGCTCAGTCTACAAAGGCTTCCTGTGGGTCGGGCTGAACTCAAGGCTTTGGGCTCTGTCTGTCTGGTTCCCTTGAACAAGAGAAGAAAACTTGTATATTGCTTTTAGAGTGTTGCTGGTGAGTGGTGGTGATGGTATGTGAGTGTACAGGAATGTCCAAGCTACAAGGGGGCTTGTGAGCCAAGTACAGAGGCCAGACCCTGGGAAGCAGGGTCTAACACAAGAGTCAAAGCCTGCCTCCGCTAAGGCCTTACTGTGAGGCTCTCAGCAAGTCTCTTCACATCTCTGGGCCTTAGCTCCCATATCTGCACTGTAGCCCAGCGAACTGACAGCCAAATGAGAGTGCCACAAGTGTCGCCTGCTAAGGGATCATCTTAATTATGTGAGGTGGGGAAACTGAGGCCCAGAGAGAGCGAAGGCTCCGCCAGATGTTACACAGGATGTCAGTGATGCTGCTGCAGCTGGAGCCCAGGACTCCTGCTCCTAGTTCACAGTATCTTTCCCCAGTGCAGGTGAATGAGGGATGAGATGGGGTGAGTCCATCTGTCTTGCTGTTTCGACTGAGGGCAAATACTAGGTAAGGAGTGAAGCTGAAGAAAGAGGAAGGCCCAGGCACATACCAAGGCTGAGATTAAAAAAAATACAAACCCAGCAATTCCCCCTCCCCCCGTCCCGTCCTGCCCCAACCCTAAAGTCCAGCTGCCAAGGGTCATGGCCAGAGCCAGGGTCAAGTCCAAGTCCTAGTCTGAGTCCGTATTTGCTCCAGTGGCCCCGCAGATCCAGGAGGGGCTCCACAAATTGCAGTCAGTCGATGGGCCGCAAGGGGGCGCGCCGGCCCACCGTGATCCGAGCTCCTTTACAGTGCTGCTTCTCACTCCAGTTGCCCAGGTATGAGGGTGGCCGCGTGGCAGAGGCTACCCTGACCTGCAGAAAACAAAGGCGAGTTAGGGGGTACATCTGCAGGTCTGCAAGTAGGCGAGCAGAGAGACCCGGGTGCTCATGCCTCCTTGTGTCCTTCTCTCCACCAACACTAAAGACTCTATCTCCGGCCATCCCCCCCCCCACTCCCCATCCCCCGCTCCGTCCCGTCCCGTGCACAGGGACCCACGTGTACAGAGGCTGCAGCTGTAAATGCGATGTCTTCTGTGGCGCCTGGTACCCATAGGAGTCAAAGCCACCGATGAAGTCAACTGCGGAAAGGAAGGGGTGAGCTATGAGAGACTGGGTTCTGAAAGTGAAGAACCCAGATAGGGCCCCAATTCCTGGGAGCCCCGTGTGGAGTGAGTGGTGCCAGGAATGGCCACGCCCATCTTCAGGATGTGGACTTAGAGCAGCGGGGCAGCGTGTGGGAGAGGGGTGGGTCAAGTGTGCTCAGGGTGCAGCCGATGCAGGAGAGGCAGTCAGCCTGAGGGAAGGCCCTAAGACTCTACAGCCTTCGATAGGGTTAGATCCAGCAATGGGAAAAGGTAGTTCTGGGGCCTTGGACTGAGCACCTGGCCATTGGAGTCCTAACCCAGAGGGGTTACGCAGACCCCATCCATCCCTGCCCTCTCTGCTTAGGAATGGGTCCCCCAGCTGACCCCGGGCTCCCGGAGGGGAGGAAGCCCTGTCCACAGCACTGAAAAGACAGGCCACCCCACGGCCGTGGAAATGCACTTACAGCTGTCCTCTTCTTCCAGGAACACTTTGCTCACGTAACAGGCAAACACGAAGCCGAAGAGCTGGGGGAGGGGATGACAGTCAGGAAGAGTAAGACAGGTTGTCCCTGCACCCTCTACCCTCCCGATTCAGCACCCTGTCCAAAGCAAACACTTTTTTTTTTTTTTTTAATGAGACAGGGTTTCTCTGTTTTGTTTTGGAGGCTGTCGGTCCAGCCTGGCCTTGAACTCACAGAGATCCGCCTGCCTCTCCCTCCCGAGTGCTGGGATTAAAGGCGTGCACCACCACCGCCCGGCCAAAGCAAGCACTTAAGTTAAATGCTAACGCTCCAAAGACTGCACGAATGTGACTTCAGACAAAAGTAGTTCACCTCCGTGCGTCTCAGTCTTCCCAGAGTCCGTGCCTCACTGGACTGTTAAGTGAAGATTTTGTGACCCTGCCTGTGTAAAGTGCCTTGAACAGGGCCGGCTCTCTCGTTAATGGTCTCAAGTAGCCTAGGCTGGCCTTGAGCTCTGGATCCTCCTAACTTTACCTTCCAAGTGCTGGGTTACAGTGTATGCCCCAGTGCCTGGCAGTGGCCCCTATTTGGAGCTCCTTTCTTATTCACATCTCTGTAAAATTGGTAGTGTCCTTTTTATGCAAATGGAAGAGAGCTCAGAAAGAGCAAATGGTTTATGCAAGGTCCCAAGGCATATTAGATATTTAAGTCCAGCAGGAGTTGGCCTGATGTCTGTCTCATCCCATTCATGAAGCCTGTCCATGCTTTTCTTAGGAGCTGGAGGGGAGGGGTGGAGGGAGGAGAGAGGTGTCACAAGACACAGATTCAGGCAGGATCGAAGGGGGGCTGGACTACATAGATTGGTCTTTCTTTTCCTTCCCTTTTTGGGGGAGGGTGGCTGGGGGATGTCTGGAACTCATTATGTAATCTAGGCTGACCTCCAACTTGTGATCCTGAGCCCCCTGCCGCTGCCTCTCCTGAGTACTGGAAATGCAGGTATATGCCACCACACCTGGCTTGTCCTCTCTTAACTGGGGATAAAGAATGGACTGGGTTGGAGACTGCACTTCTGGGGATATGGGTTGGATGATGAACAGGACTTACAGCTAGGAAGATCTGCAGGGCACTGCTGAGGGCTTCGATGTAAGGGTAATCAAGCAGGCAGCCCGTGACAGAGATGACATGGTGGTCCTCCAGTGCCAGGCGAGAGTTCAGAACGGGAGTCACCAGGCAGCCGGGCCCATTCTCCATCCACCACGAGCGATGCAGGGATGTGTTGAAGGTCATGATGAAGTCCCGGTCCTGGGGGGCAGAGGGGCCTGGGATACTGAGCAGTGGGGAGGGACAGGAGGATACTCCCCGGGCTCTCACTACCATCTGAACTCTCTCAGCCTGATCCTCTCTAGCTTGATTTGTGAAGGGAAAGAAGACTACACCTGCAAGTCCATACATCGCCAGCAGGGGGCAGTAGATGACCATCCAGACACCACACTGCTACTCGTGAACTGCAAAGGGTAGGCATTGAGACTCCGAATTTCAGAATTAGAAGGGACACTCATAGGGGCAGGGCCTAACTCCCCAGGCATTGGTGGAATCCTCACTACAAGCTCCCGTACAACCCAATGGGCTTTCATTGGTCTCCTTAGTGTGACTGGACAAATCTCTCCTCTCCTTGGTCCTTAATCTCCCCTTTGTTACAAGGAGAAGGGCTGGCAGCTGTTCACAGAGGGTATGTGCCCATCGGTGCCTTCACTCCTTCAGTCAGACTGGTAGTCACCATGCTGACAAGGAACCAAACACAGGCCCCTGAGCAAGCTTCGTCTCCTGTGTAACCACATGGGGCTGCTATGGTCTCTACTCCCCCCCCAAGACAGGTTTCTCTGTGTAGTCCTGGATGACCCAGAACTTGCTCTGCAGACCACGTTGGCCTCGAACTTAGAAAACTGCCTCCTTTGCCTTCTGAGTGCTGGGATTAAAGGCGTGAGCCACCGTCTCCTGAATACAACTTTTGAGCCTTGGTTCTCATTTCTCCTTCCATGAACTTGGGTCATCAGGCTTACAAAGTAAGCGTTTTTATCCACTGAGCTATCTCTCTGACCTTGCCTTACTTTTTGAGACAGGGTCTCCCACTGACCCTGGAGTTCACAAGTTTGGTTAGACTGGCTGACCTGAAAACCCTTGGGCACCCCTTTCTCTGCCTTCCCCAGCATTGAGGTTACAGATCCACACCAATGGAAGGCTTTTATGCAGGCGCTGGAGGTCTGAACTCAGGCACTTGACCAACTGAACCAAGTCTCTCCGGGCTGGCTTAGATGAGGAGATGGGATGGGGGACCTGGCTCAGTTGGTAGTGTTTATTCAGTACACAGGAAGCCTTGGGAGGAACACATAGGAGGATCAGGAGTTCAAAGACATCCTTAGCTACAGAGCGTTTGAGGCCTGCATGGGCTAAAAGAGATCTTGTCTCCAAAAAAAAAAAAAAGAGGGTGTGGCTGGAGAGATGTTTCAGCGGTTAAGAGCACTGGCTGCCCTTCCAGAGGACCAGGGCTCCATTTCTAGCACCCACATGGCAGCTCACATCTGTCTGTAACTCCAGTGCCAGGGTTCATTGGCACTCTTCTGGTTTCTGCCAGCACTGAACACACATGGCACACAGACAGACAGACAGACATGCAGACAAAGCACTGTGGTCTGAATGGGAATGGCTCCCATAGGTTCATGTGTTTGAACACTTGGTCCCCATTGGTGGAACTATTTGGAAAGGATTAGAAGGTGTGGTCTTGATGGAGGAGGTGTGTCACTGGGGCGGGGCCTTGAGGTTCTAATAGTCCAATGACCTCTCTATTTACCTCGGGTTGTGGACCCAGATGCAAGCTCTCAGCTGTTTCTGCTGCAAACCTTTGCTCTGCAATCATCGGCTCTAACCCTCTGAAACCCAAATTAAACTCTTTCTTTTGTAAGCTGCATTGGTCATGATGTTTTATCACAGCAGTAGAAAAGTAACTACCATACGCCCATACACACAAAATAAATAATAAATGAATCTAAAGAAAGAGCAAAGTGAAACTTAGAGAGAAGAGGCCACAGTGTCAAACTGCTGGGCAATGCTCAGCAGGGACGGAAATGGAGCAGGATCAAACCATGGAGCCAAGGTTCTTATTCACATATTTGGCCTCCTTCACATCTAAAAATAGACGTTGTGTCTCTCTGGGCCTGCTCGTCGGCCAGCTACGCACCTCTACTTTCTTCTCTTCTCCACATGACACAGTTTGTTCAGTTTTCCCCAAACAAATGCCACTTAGTCTTTCCTTTCTGAAAAATATCGACCAGCCCTGGACCCACCCCATCTTCCTGCCTAAGCGGTAAAGAACGCATGTACGACATTTTCACTTCCTTCCTGGGCATGCTGTCACAAGGCCGGCCTCTACCGAGCCTGTGGTCAACAGAGCCCTCACCCCATCCTCACAGCAAATGCTCTTTAGCCTCATCAGTTCCGTCATTGTGAGAAGGGAGAAGAGGCTGGGAACAAAAATGGAGGTCAAGCGGGCCGCATGGATCATTTTGAGTGTCCCCAGGGGAAAAGGTGTGTGGAAGACATGATGTCCCAGGCCCCAGAAGGGACGGCGCAGGTCAGGCTGTGCTCTGCACACCACCAGGCCGGGGGCTTACCTGGGATAGCTGTCCGACCTCCAGGTAGAAGCAGATGATGAAGGCATTCCAGCCAACCCAGAGCACCAGCCAGGCAGCATACTGTGGGAAGCAGAGGTGAGTTCAGGGTGGGGCTGGGGGCTGCTCAGTCAATGGAGACAGACTTCAAGGGCAGGGGGATCTTTGCAGTAGAGGCTTCAAGTGCACATGCATCCTTCACAGGCCTGCAGGGCAGGCAGGCCTGTCATCTCCCCTCTACTAAGGCCCAGAGGCAGGCTCCGCTTCTCTGAATCACACAGCTAGGAGGAAGGGCTGGCCCTTGACCCGGGTCCCTGAGAGGGACCTCTTCTATGTGTACTTCAGGTACTCTGAGGAGTTTATTAAAAATACAAATGGGGAGCTGGGCGGTGGTGGCACACGCCTTTAATCCCAGCGGATCTCTGCATTCAAAGCCAGTCTGGTCTACAGAGTAAATTCCAGGCCAGCCAGGGCTACACAGTGAAACCTTGTCAAAAAACCAGACAAACAGACAAAACAAAACAACACAAAACAAAAACCAAAACCAAACTGGGGCCCAGCAGTGTAGCTGAGATTTTTGTTCCCAGCATCCACACAAGGGCAGGCTCACAACCACCTGTAACTTGAAGCCCAGGGATCCAATGCCCTCTTCTGGCCTCCTCAGGTACCCACACTCAAGTGCGCCCCTTCTGCAAGGGCTGATGAGATGGCTCAGTGGGTGAGGACACTTGGCACCAGAGACGGTAGGACCTAGAATGAGCATGAGTGACTCTGCATGTCTTGGTACCACAGAAACAAGGACAGATGTAGGTCAATCTAGTGAAAAGCCCTTTTCCTTGATATGGCCCCCTGAAGAGGCACCGAGGACCAGCACAGAGCATGGCTGAGGATGTTTGAGACTAGGAGTCTAGAAGACCATTAGCAATGGAAGGTTCTGGGAATGCCACCATATCCCTGGTGTAGGAGAAACTGCCGCAGGCCTACCCAAGTCACATTTGCCCTGCCCAGGTGCCCAGGCCTGCCCACATGAGCAAGCGTGGCTGGCACTTCCTCCCTGAGCCAAGCCTGCCTCTACACCCAGAGACTGCTGACTGCTGACCAAGAGACACCAACGAGGAAAGCACAGCGCAGCAGAGTCAGCCGCCTGGGCCAACAGGACGTGGGGAGGGGGTATAAAGGCAGGTCTGACCTCCTTAACAAACAAGTCAGCAGCACACTCTGCTCCTCACTGATCCCCAGTGCCTGTGTCATGGGTGCTGCATCTTCTCACCCCCTTCCCCAAGGGGTGTCTGAGCAGGGTAACCCGCAACATCTGGTGCCCAACGTGGGGCTTGAACCCACAACCCTAAGATTAAGAGTCTCATGCTCTACTGACCGAGCTATCGGGGGCTGGAGCATAGGAACCGCCGACCTCAAAAAGCCACACAGGCTATCTTCAGATCATGTTGTCTTTTTTTTTTTTTTGGATATAGGGTCTCACTGTGTAGTCCAGGCTATCCTGGACTCTCAAAGATACTGCCTCTTTCTCCCAAGTTACAGGATTGCAGATGCACATCGCCACTCCTGCCACACCCCCTGTCCTCAGTGAACGTCAGTCAGCAGGGACAGAAGCCATGACTTCCTGATGCTCCCTTGCTGCCCTGGAAAACACTGATGAGGCCCACCAATTCTTTGTCCCCATAGCTTACAGATGGGGACAGTGTGGGAGCCCTCGATCCAGACCCAGCTCAGCCTTAGCTGTGTGACCTTAGGTAGACTCTTAACCACTCTGAGCCAGCCTCTTTTCCTCAGCTGTGTGGGGAGGTGGTGGAGCAGCTGTAACGTAGGATTGTGCACTCTGCCTGGCCCACCCTGGACGGTTGACATATCTTACACTATCCCTTGGGGAGACTCTGTAATGAAGACTAGCACCCGGGTGTGCTCTGAGTGCATAATTTTGAGGTTTGGGCTTATGGGTAGGAGACAGTTAAATTTGGAGAGGTGGGGGCAAAGAAAGGGACATACCAGGATGAGATACCGGGACCGATACTGCACAGTGCCAAAGATGCCCAGGATGACAGCCATGATATGTAGGAAGTTGGCCAGGATGGGAGCCCACTGGTAGCCCAGGAAATCGAAGATCTGCCGCTGGAGTGCAGCCACCTGTGAAAGAGACAGTCTGAGACAAATGCCCCACAAAAGGACGGAGACTCAGACACCTATTCCCTCAGCCCCAAAGGGATAATGAAAGAGGAAGTCAAGGTCTCTACAGCTGATGACTTGGGGTAGGGGTGTAACTCTGAGCCAGGGTCCTAGCCTCTCCTTCCTGGGCAACTCAGCAAGACCGCCTCACAAAACAAACAAGGAGACATGGGGTGGAGGCCAGCTGGCTCAGAGGTTAAAGGTGCCGACTACTGGGCCTGACTACCTGAGGTTGGTCCCCAGGGCCCAGATGGTGAGAGAACTGACTCCCACAATTGGTCCTCTGATATGCACAAGTGCTACCCCAAATAAATAAATATAAAGTGTAATTAAATTGTTTTAAATCAGCAGCGGTAGAGTGGTTGTCTAGCAAGCGCATAACCTTGGGGTTCATTCCCCAGCACTAAAAACAAAGAACAGCATACCCCGAGTTAGGCAGTGTCTGCTTAGTAATGAGTTGGGGGATCTGGGTCAAGGAAGAGATCCTGGAGACTCTTCCTGCCAGGGCAGCAGGGCAGTACAGGCTAATGCCACCACACAGATGGTACAGCTTGGGCAGAGACCAAAGAAGCTGCAGGCTTGGGCAGGACATGAGGGGAGCCTGGTAGTGCCAGGCCAAAGCCTGGCACCTTCCCATCTGCCTCTCCCTGGTGACAACCCTCACAGGGTTCTGCAGATGGTCATAGGCATCCCAAGTTCATCTCGCCCTGCACATGCCTTGGCAGGAAGATGGACCTGGGATTGTTATGTCATCTTGAGGAAAGAGAACATGCAGTTCAGAGAGGACGAATGACTTGCCCAAGGTCACACAGCACGTAGGTGGCAGAACAGATCTTTCTCTGCCACCTGTCTCATCTAGGTACCAAGGTGCCATGCTTCCCAGCGGGCACTGGCTCAGGAGTCAAGGGGCACAGGTGGAGAGTGGGGCGTGTGCCTCCGTCTGCTGGGGGACTTTGGCCGGGTTGCCTGCCCTGCTGGGCCTCAGGCTCCTCACCTATACACAGTGATTAATGGGCTCCAATATCCAGCCCTGATTGGGTGGTTGGCTAATCTTGGGGAAGGAACTCTCTAGGCTTGTCCTCTTCCTGGCTCCACTCTTTGTCTTTAAAAAAAAAAAAATAAAACAAAACATTTTTACGCGCCCACACTCAAGAAATGCAGATCAAAGGACAACTCGTAGGAGTCGTTTCTCTCCTACTATGTAGGCCCTCGGTTTAAAATTCATGCTGTCAGACTTTATACCATCTTTTGTTTTTTGTTTTTTTTGGTTTTTACCAGACAGGCTTTCTCTGTTTTGTTTTGGAGGCTTTCGGTCCAGCCCGGCCTCGAACTCACAGAGATCCGCCTGCCTCTGCCTCCCGAGTGCTGGGATTAAAGGCGAGCGCCACCACCGCCCGGCGACTTTATACCATCTTGCTGTCCTCCGACTTCTATTCTTTCAACAAGTGAGATTGGAACTGGAGCCTCTACCCCCTTTACTTTCCAAGTCCTCCTGGGTGGTGAAGTACAACTCACCTCTCACCCTCCATGGGGGCCAGGACCCCTGGTGAGTTTATCCCTAACCCTGGATGCTGCTGTCCCTGCCCCACATGACAATCACCTATCCCCTCCAGCACTGAGCTCTGACCGATTCACCCTCCACTCGCCATTCAGTGTGTCCTGTCCACTAGATCCTCAACATCTCAGAACAGTTAGTATTCGTCCCCTGTGCAGGCTCTGATGCCCCCATCCTTTCATCCTTTGGAAACAGTGTGAAGAGTGACAGGAAATCAGACAGCACAAGCCCAAGCCCCAGGCCTCAGTGAGACAGACATAAAGATGACTTTTACCTAGGTGTGGTAGCACACGCCATTACTTCCAGGACTCAGGAGGCAGAGACAAAGGGATTCCAAGTGAGAGGCCAGCATGGGTTACAAAGTAACACCTTGTCTCAACACACACACACACACACACACACACACACACACACACACACACACACACACACACTTCATAAACGGAGAGAGAGATGTATACAACAAAACTTTTTTCTAATTTGCCAGCTAAATGCACCTTGACTCAAGATGAATGGGAAGCATTCCCAATAAACATCTTGGGTACTGTCTGACATTATGGCACACACCTTTAATAATCCCAGCACTTGGGAAGCAGAGGCAGGTGGAGCTCTGAGTTCAAGGCCAGCCTGGTCTACAGAGTTGAGTTCCAGGACAGCCAGGGCTACACAGGGAAACCCTGCCTCAGAAAAGCAAACACCATCTTGGGTGCTAAAGAGTTTGCTGGGAGTGGTGGTACACAACCATGACCCCAGCACCTGGGAGTGGAAGCCGAAGAATCAGAGTTCAAGTCCACCCTTGGGTGGACAGTGAGTAGCTCAGTGTGAGCTGACTTTGCACTTGCAAAAACTTTCTGACCGTCTTCCTGATCCTTGAGCCCATGGGGTGATGTGTGGCGTCCCCTGACTGTGCCACTGCCATCCCCTGTCCTTGGCCCTGTCCCATGCCCTGTCCCTTTCCTACCTTTCTTCAGGAAGTCTGCTTCTCTTCCCTCCTCCCTTGCTCCCAAGGTCCCAACAGTGGCTGGCAGTCTTTGAATCCTAAGGCTACTTGGCCACCTTCACTTCAGGCCACGTCACCTACTGTTCTCCAGGGCTTGCCCTAGCTCTGAAAAAAATTTTGTTTTCTGCTCATAGGATGTTGCTATGGAGCCCAGGCTGTCTTGGAAGTTGAGATCCTCCTGCCTCAGCCTCGGGAGTGCTGGGTTTACAAACCCACTCCATCATGTGAAGTATTCCCTGTAAACCTAACCTGCTGGACCTGGTCCATGTCCAGTACCCACTCCCCTGATGTGTCCAGATGCAAGAGTTAGAAACTCCAGTTCTGACTCAAGCCTGCCTCGTGCTCTCTAATATCCCCAAGTCTAGGGGCCACTTAATGGGACAAATCTCCCACCTGACCACTTTCACCATTCATGTTTTCTCTCACCCAGATGTGTCAACCCTCCTCTCCCAGACTATTTCAAACCTGACTTCTCTCCAAGTGAAGACCTAGTCTGCCTGGCTGCCCTTCTCCTGGCCCTTAGCTCCCCACCCCCAAACCCTGATTATTTATTTATCAGGTGGCTGCCAGCTGAGGGGGATGCTGTTGCTATGGGAACCTTCAGTCCCTTGTCAGGGCTGCCTCTGGTCTCAGTAGGATGCTCTTGTCTGTCTAGACTCCAACCCCAGGAGCCCAATCCCAGGTGGGAACCGGGGTGGGGGTGGGGAGTAATACAGATGGATCTGCCCTCGTCCCAGGAAGCTGGCTAGGGCGGAGGCAGGGAAGAGGCTGGGCAAAGGGCCCTGGAACTTTATCAGAAGCCTCGGGTACCTCAGTCCTTACCCATCAATTCAACTACTTCCCTGGCCAGGATCCCAGTGTGTGGCCATATGCCTTAGTTGCAGAAGTCTGGCTGTCTGGGGGAAGACTCCTCTTCAGAGTGGTGCCCTGAGAGTCCCAGAGGAATGGAAAGTGCAGTCCTATTCTGCCCTGACCGACTGGGGGAGCAAATCTCCCCATTTGGGGTCCCGCAGAAGAAAGGAAACAGTTTAGTCCTGCAACCCTGGGCAGGTTCTTCTCCCTCTCTGGGCCTCGGTTTCCTTGACGGCAAAGTGTTCTATCACATAAAGCGCTCAGCTACCGGGGTGTCTCAGTACAAGGCAGCAGCCTCCCCTGTGCCTTGAAGCCCCCCTTCCCAGCGGATTTCTGAAGCAGCTGACAAAATTACACTTGACTCAGCCCCTCATCCGTGAAATGAGGGGATGGGCTGAAGCTGAAGGAGCCCGGAGATCCGCTATCCGCTAGTACAGCCCTCATTAGGGCTCAGCACAGTGACAGCTGGGAGGGACAGCCACTTGCCTGAGGGGAGGAGGCTCCCAGCTCCAAACCTGGAGCCACCTAGGGAGGCCTCCACCTGGGGCCAGCACTATTGTGTGTCAGCTGAAAGAGCCCCTTAGCCGGTTTAAAGGAAGAGTGGTGGAGACCAGGAGGGGCTTTACCAGGGACAGAGGGACAGAGGAAGGATTGAATCCACTGAATAGATTTCTTACGCACCTTCTGTTCCGGGCCCCAGGGCTAAGGACAGGGGGATGTGAGACAGTGAACAAACCATGTGGCCTCTGTCTTAGAAAGCCGGCATTCACGATGTGATGGCTGCACACACCTGTAATTCCAGCACTTGGGGGGGGGGGCAGGAAGGACCACTGCAAGTTTTATGTCAGCCTGGCCTATACAGTGAAACCATACCTCAAAAAAACAGAAGTGGGAGAAAAGAAAAGAAAGCGGAAGGACGAAAGGAGAGAGAGAGAGAGAGAGAGAAGGAGGAGAGAGAGAGGGAGAGAGAGAGAGAGAGAGAGAGAGAGAGAGAGAGAGAGAGAGAGAGAGAGAGAGAGAGAAGGAGGAGAAAGGGAGGAGAGACAGGAGAGACAGAGAGAGAGAGAGGGAGGAGAGAGACAGGCCATGGCCTCCTGGTGGTTAGAATTGGGGACTACTGTACAGGGAGCCCTCTCCTCTGTGTCTAGTGGCCTTTGGGGACACTGGTGCTTTGATATATATACACACTATGTCCCTCCCTTCTTTACAGAGCCCGGGTAGCCCTCCTCCTAGCCCAGATCCCACTGGAAACCAGCCAAAACTATCACTGTTAAGTTAAAAGAGCAGCATGAGTCCACTGTGTAAAAAACAAAGCCAGAAAAAGACACCAAATGCGGGCGACAGTAAACACAGCATCAAGAGCCAGAAAAAGACAACAGTTGTGAGTGGTCATCTCAGGGGAGCAGAGATGGGGACAGGAGACGAGGCTCTAAACACACAAACACCTGGAGCTGTGAACAGGCTCACAACTAAGATACAATGTGTTTAAGAATGTTAAAGTCACCAGGGCGTTGGTGGCGCTTGGAGGCAGAGGCAGGAGGATCTCAGTGAGTT